CCCTAAAGCACTAACTCAAATATTTAGGTCCCCTAATTCTAAAGCACTAACTCAAATATTTAGGTCCCCTAATTCTAAAGCACTAACGCGATGAAAATTTTAGCAAAAGTTAATTCTAAAGTATCAAAATAACCCAGTTGACACATGAAACATTCATCAGAGTCAACATGAGACAATATTTACTGTGTGCAGATTGTCGTCACTTAGTGCCCTTGCCGGGCAAAAGGGGAGACACCCACAGGCCAAATTTGGCCCTCGGGCCTTGGGTTTAACACATGTGACCTTGTAGATAAGTGACACACTTATGAACAAAATGTATGACAGCTTTCACCCTCAACTGTGAACAATAATGTTGATAAATTACATTTAAAGACATCAGTTAGTGCTTCTAAATTTAGCAAGTGCTAATCCACTAATGAATTTTAAAAAATTCCCCTATTAGTGCTTTAGTGCTTTAGGGGAACTGTGCTCACCACTACATATTTAGTTTGGAACTATGACATTTATAAACGTATGAATAACAGTGAAAATATGACTTTGAAAAATTAATCCCTATTTTTTTTCTTTTTCTTGTGAAAGGCAAAATAAAGCTAAATATTGCTGGTGATTTTTGACATTGAGGTGTTTCTTTCCATCCCTTTGGTTTATTTATACATTTATCATGTGCGTCAGAGCTCCTGTAGAGAGAAAAGGYGTGGGTAAACAGAAGTGTGTCATCGGTAAACAAGGATTAAACATGAAGATGTGACGTTGAGCATGATGGACAGAAGACTTCTTTGTGTGATTACAGAGGAGTGAGAAAAGAGAATTAAAGCATGAAGCCGATCAGAGCAGAAGCAGAAGAGAGGGGAAGGATTAAAAAGTCGAAACTGTTACTATTACAAAACAAAGATTTTAAATCTAAAGGTTTAGCTCACACTTTTCCTCTCAGGCTGGCAGATCGCTGCGGCAGCCAACCAGCAAGTCTGAACCAAGTCCAGGAGAGGCGACGCCCACTGAAGGCCCACCAATCAGAAAGCTTCTTACCTCTGGGTGAGAAAACAAWCTCTGCACCTTCCTTTCAAATTAAAAGCCCACCTGAAACAGATAATTGATCATTAGGCTCGCCTCGTTCTGCAAATAATCACTTTTTTGTTGTTGTTTGTTTTTGTTCTCTTATCCTTTCAGGATCCAAGCCCCTGCCCCCGCARCCCCCCGACCCGCATCTCCCCAGCCCCAAGTCGCCGGTGTTTCGGACCGGCAGTGAACCAATGCTGAGCCCCTCGGTCCAACACAGACTARCAGCACCTCAGACAAGTAAGCAAAGACCTGAAGGAGCAGTGACTCACATACTGACACCACTGTTAACAAACACTAAACTTAACAGAACAAAGGTTGATTCAGGACTTTATTTTATTTCACCTGGTAAAGTGTCTTGTTATAATAAGAACATATTTAAAGTTTAAATTGAAACAGAGCTTAAAACCAGACATGTAAATATGTGAGATTTTTTATTTTACAAAAACATGCAGAGGACTGTGGAGGACTGAAACAGACATAATGATAAATAAAATGAGCGGCCTTCTTGGGTCAGCTCCTCTCCTATTGGTCAACAGACAGGAAGGAGCAGGATCCATGTGCAGATCTACAGTGCATGCTTGCGCTGCCTCAGTTTAGCTTAAAGTTTAAAGTTTAGTTAAAAAAAGGCAAGTAGGAAATCACTTACCTGTGTCTTGGTTTTTAAATGCTTTTAAATGCTTTTATTTCTAATTATGTCAGTTTCGGTCCTCCATAGGGGACAACCTGTAAAAAAGATTATGTTAAATATAAACTGGCAGTAAATGAAAATACATAAATTATTTCTATTTTATTCCAGTCCAGAAATTTAAATTAAATATAAAATACATCAACCCTGTTTCAGACAGCTCTCTGATCAATCATATAAATGAATATGGATATCAGGCAGATGAGTCTAATTGAAAAGCTAAAAATAAAGCTGTTAGGCTCTCAGAGAACAATTTAAGCTCCTGTGGGTGTTTGAAATGAATCGGACACCATCTCTGTTGAGTGTTTGCTCCTGCAATGCTAGAATCTGCACAGGAAATTAAATTCCCTCCTGTCCTCCTGTGGCAGTTTGATTTATATGTTTTATTAGACGTTAAAAATAGACAGACTGTGTGTTGATCCATCCTGTWCAAGTCATGTGAAACTGTCCACAGAAAATCTAAAAGGTTAAGTGTAGCAACACTGAATGATTTATTAGTTTATAACCAATATTAATAATAAAACCTGGTTTTTTTTTTTAGATCAGGCAATCCGTGGTTCAGACAGCCAGCTGTGCCCCAAACCGCCTCCCAAACCCAGCAAAGTGTCCCTGGCTCGACTGCCCCGCTCCCCCGGCCTCCAGCCCCTGATGCCCCCCTCCGTCTCCACCTCCACCGGCCTGGCTGCAGCTTCTTTGAGCTCCACAGGTGTGGAAACTTTAGCTTCCTCCTGGAGGGGTGGAGGTAACTTTTAGTTTGATTTTTTTTTCTCCAAAGACAATTTTAATTTGTTGGAGTTCAGATATCTCAACCTGGAGCCAAGTTCAGCTGGAAAACATTTTATTGTGGGACTGCCAAGTCAGCGTTATTTTAGCTTTTAGCTTTACTGCTTCCTTTAATTTAAACAACTCAGGTTCTTTATGAAGGTAATTTTGTGTTTTTATTGTTCAATCGAACCACAAAGCAGTTTCAATCCCAATAAGTAATTTCAATTAAAACAATTCCAATAAAAATGATCATTTCAACCAATCAAAAAGTAATAATAATAATTTCAACCAAACAAAAAAGCTATTTCAATTTAAAAAACGGCCATTTAATGTATTGACAACATTCGAAGGAGGTGCACCAGGAAATCGCTTCAGTCCGCACTAACCAATGGGGACATGTCTTACATAGTTCCTCCTTAGGCCCCGCCCAGATGTTCATGTTCTCTCTCTTTGAGATTCAACCAAAGATTTCTGATATGTGAAAAAATGTTTCAGTTTTTGATTGAAAAATTTCAATTAAAATTGCTTTTGTGTTTGGTTGAATAATAAAAACACAAAATTACCTCCATAGTTCTCAAAGTCTCCACAGTATTTTCACAAAACGTGTAATTTCTCTAGTTAAATGTTGTTGCTAGAACACCTGGGTAGTTTTGAACATTTAGCTGTTGATTTGAGGTGAAGTGTAAACATCTGGAGCTGGTATCCACTCTGTGGTTGTCGTCCCTCAGCCTCCCCAGGACCTCCTGTCCCAGCGAAGCCCCARAAGCTAAAACGCTCCCTCGCCCCCGCAGACCCCCACAGCTCTTGCTCTCCCGCGGTTTCACCCGCCGAAGGTGTTCCTGACTCAGAGGTGACGACGGGACGGACGAAGCCGCTGCCGCCGACCCCCGCTGACCTGCTCCTGAAGTTCCAGAACTTCGACCTGGAGCGACGCCCGCCGGTCTGCAGCTACGTGGAGAGGCTGAAGAGAGAGAGGGGGAAGGGGAGGTGCGAGGGCCGGGAGCAGGAGGTGGACGTGCAGAGGCTGCTCGACAGGAGCTCCTACCACCACGCCATCGCTGCCTTGGAAAACACCAGCGAGGAGGAGGAGGAGCTTGGCAGGGAGGAGGAGGAGGAGGGTTTGAGGGAAAAGGAGACGTTTGTTTTCCAGCGCCCGGTTGTAGAGACGGAGTCCGTGTTCAGGCCGTACGACTTCGGGTCCCGKCTTCTGCCGGCCGAGAACAAACCGCTGGAGATGGTTGTTCTGAAGCGAGCGAAGGAGCTGCTGCTGAGCCACGATCACCAGAGCATCGCACAGCACCTGCTGATGGCCGACTGTCAGGTACGCAGAGACAGAGAGACGCAGAGACGCAGAGACAGAGACAGAGAGACGCAGAGACAGAGACGCAGAGACAGAGACAGAGAGACGCTGAGACGCAGAGACGCTGAGATGCAGAGATGCTGAGATGCAGAGACGCTGAGACGCAGAGATGCTGAGACGCAGAGATGCTGAGACAGAGAGACACAGAGACACTGAGACACTGAGACACTGAGACGCAGAGACACAGAGACACAGAGACACAGAGACACTGAGACGCAGAGACGCAGAGACACAGAGACACTGAGACGCAGAGACACAGAGACACTGAGACACTGAGACACTGAGATGCAGAGACACAGAGACACAGAGACATAGAGACACGTCTGCTGTCATGTCAGACTGGAGCTACAGGCTGCACACAAACAACCCAATAAAACGCTGAGTCGTCAAACTGAAAACTGTTTGAGCAGCTGTCCAACGTTTATCGCCCGGCAGGTTGCGAGGATCCTCTGCGTGACCCCGCAGCTGAAAGGCCAGATGGGCGTGTCCTCGGGTCTGGAGCTGGTGACGCTGCCGCACGGCCGCCAGCTGAGGCTGGACCTGATGGAGAGGTGRGTCTGACATTCAGCCACACTCCAACCCAAACTGAGTGACCAATCAGAGGCGGTCATTCCTAGAGATGTTACATGTTGACTCTTTGCCCATATTCAGTGGTGGGCACAGTTCACCTAAAGCACTAAAGCACTAAAAGGGGAACTAACTACCTGATTAGTGCTTTAGGGATTTTGCTAATTTTAAACTTCATAAGTGGATTAGCACTTGCTAAATTTATAGTCTAAATTTAGAAGCACTAACTGAGGTCTATAAACGTTATTGATCAACRTTAATGTTAACAGCTGAGGGTGAAAACTGTCACATTTTGTTCATATGTGTCACTTATCCACCAGGTGACAATAAATTAAGCCTAACACAGCTGTGGAATGTCAATGATAAGTCTTAAGAGATCAACATGTGACTCATGTTGTCTGTTGAAGAATGTTCATGGGTTGACTGAGTTATTGTAGTGCTTTAAAATGAGCTTTTGCTAAAATTTTTAGTGTGTTAGTGCTTTAGAATTAGGGGATCTAAATATTTGAGTTAGTGTTTTAGGGCTAGTGGAACTAATTTTTAGATTAGTGCTGCCCACCACTGCTGATATTGTTCAACACTTAAATTCCAATATTAACTGATATCAAGGTGACATCACATAACTCCTGTCAGGGACATTTATACCTGCTTTTTGATACCCCACTGGATGTATTCCATACATAAACATCATCTGCACAAAAATAAATAAAACATTTAACTGAAGTTAGGGAAAAAGTGCCATATTTATTTTTAACATTTTGTCTCAAACAATAGTGCTCTCCCTGAGATAATCCAGTTTGATGATGTCATCAGTTACGCACCGGTGAACGTCTCTG